TATTTAAAATTATGTTAATATTATGGTATTTAATAATTGTATATTTGTTTTAAAAGAGAGTTAAAGGAAGTTATAGATTTGTTAGATTAATAGTTGATTAATGTTAGTTAGATTATGATTATTTTATTGTTAATCCTGTGATTGGCTCTGGGAAGTGAGGGGGGGGAGGGATGGAGGGTTGGGTTTGGGGGGAGGGGGGTATTTATATTGTAAAATTTTATAAAACTTTCAATAAAAAAAAGAAAAGAAAAGGAGGACTAGGGATGATATGACAGCAGGGTTCCAGTATTTGAGGGGCTCCCACAAAGAAGAAGAGGGGGTCAAGCTATTCTCCAAAGCACCTCTCAGGAGAATTCTTTCTTCTATTCCATCCAGCATCATCCCTTGCTGGGTCCCAAAAGGGATCATCCCAGAGTCACAATTTGATGTTTCAATATAATCCATTTAGCTGAAATATCTTGGCTCAGAATGAGGGGGAAGACCTCTGAGCCTGTGTTTCTTAGGGTGCTTCTAAGTATAAGGGAACTCGAAAGAGAAATGTGAACTATTTATTCAGTGGGCAGCTACACTATTCCATTGTTCGCCCCCCCTCCCAGGAGTAAACATGCTTAAAATATAACTTATGATCTCTCTCCAGATTAAATGCAACGTTAATAAAATTTCTCCTTCGCTCCCTGTTTGTTCCAACCCAAATCGGATCTACCGACTGCCTTCTTCCTGTGTATATTCTGAGGTCTCAAGTTGGCTGTTTAATTAACATGCCTTGGCTCAGAATTATATAGAAGAACTTTGAGCAAAAGGTTTAATTCCCAGACTTTCACTACCATCAAGGGCAATTGGGGCTTAAAAAAGGAAATTTGTCTATTGATTGAAGAAAAACTTTCCACTTATTAGACAGCACTTTTTGACACTTATCATTGTGCCCAAAAGGAGAATGAGTTTTATGATCTCTCCACCTACTCAAATTCCATTACGTCCCCCACCTCACTATTTCTCCCCCTGCTGTCTTCCTATGCCAATAACTGATTCAGCTAATAATCCTTGGCTAAATACAACGGGGCTTAAGACAGATCTGCAACGGTCTTTGCTTATGCAAAGCAAACATTGGACACTGTGCAAAATTACTGTCCTGTCCCTATTAGCTTGCCTAGAGGCATAAGCTGTGAACAGAGACGTGGCATTCCCTCGTTTGGTTCCTCATTAAAAAAAAGTTCACAATTGCAACACAACCATGCCCATATTCCAGATAGTATCTTTTCATGCTAACCTGCTGAGTATTTTTATTTTTATTTTTATTCATGTTAAATCCGTCAGGCACATCCTATCCTTCATGCAGGAGACCGCTCATTCTGGATCCATAAACTGTTTTTCAGTCTCTTTGTCAGAACCCAGTTGTTGGGAGGGGGTGGGTTTTTTATTCTCTTTTCCTGCAGGTTCTGCCATACTCCTGGGGGGGAAGGGGGGAAGTTATGGATGCTACAATGTATCCTCTCTTCTTTCCTCTATCTGCTTGCTCTTTGATCTATTCCCTTGATGCCAGCCTGGGGTGAGAATTGAATGTGCCTCCATCCATCTGCCTTATCTCTAGCTGCCGAAGAAGAGGCACAAAGACCTAACAGCCTTGGGAACGGCACCTTATCAACCCCGTTCCCACAGCAGATTCACACCTGGGGATAGGCTCCTTTGAACTGACCCAATGGGCTATTGGGATGGGGTTGCTAGTTGCTCTTTTAACCTATTGATTCTCACGGGAAACTCTCAGATCCTGCCTTCTATGCCTCCTGTCAACGTCTCCTAATAAAAGTTCCATTTGGAATGAAGCTGCTGCAGGAGTTCTGCTTTCTTGGGAAGAGGGATTGAGGCAGGTCCTTACACCTGCAGATTCTCCACAGTTTTAGGCTTGGAACAGTTCCTAAGCCAGAAGAAACTTTCCTGGGAAAGGGGAAGCAATGGAAATCAACCCGCTTGCTCCCCTGAATAGCCGGATGCTCTCAGGTGGCTTCTTGATGAAGAGGAAGTAATTGGGTGAGTCCTGGCTGGGGCGGGGTTACCGTGCAAGTTCACTGTGGATGAACCAGCTGTGTATTCAGAAATTAAGGGATGCTGCCGGTTCTTAGACACTTGTTTCTCAGTATATTTACCTTTCTTGTCAAGAGAGGCTTCCTGTCATGCATCTTGTCATTTTTTGTGTGTGGAACTATCGTTATTTCTGAAGCTCTGTAACTTTAAAAATGACATGGAGGGCTGTAAGTTTAAAAATTGACTGAGCTGATAAAAGAAAAGAGTTGGCTTTTCCAAGCCAAAGTAAAGAAGCTGGAAATCATCATCATCATCATCATCATCATCATCATCATCATCATCATCCTCACCACCACCACCACCACCAAGTTGGAAGAGACCTTGGAGGTCATCTAGTCCAACCCCTTGCTCAGGCAGGAAACCCTATACCATATACTTTTTTTAAACTGGTTTTGCAAACTCACTGGATTTATAATAATTCATATTTTTAAGAAAAAGATAAAGTTTAAGCCACAGTTATTTTTGTTGGGTATTATGGAAAATTTGGATAAAAAAGAAATGGATTTGATGTTGAATTTGATAACTGCTGCAAGATTATTAGTAGCTCAATGTTGGAAAATGGAACGTTTGCCCACTATAGAAGATTGGGCATTTAAAGTTTCAAATTTAGCAGAAATGGC